TTGTGCGAGTGTTGTCCACTTTTATTATTTGTATTTTGTCTTTTATGTTCCCCCTTTTCTTCCCCTTTGAATTGTTTGCCGCCCTGTGTCCTCCCGGAGAAGGGCGGCATAAAAATAATAAAATACCAATACCAATACCAATACCCAGATTAAACCTTTGCTCTTACTCTAGCCAGGAGAGTGCTTCCAATTTCGGAGACAATCAAATTATTCTCCTCTCTCAGCCTCTTCATGTTCTCCAGAAACACTTCTGAGAAAAGATGAGACCACGTGTGACTCAAGAGAAGCAAAAAGGCCAAGACAATGACACGCCAACTCATCATCACCGCAAGTCCCATTATTCGTACTAGATAAATCTAGCATGGAAGTTGCTGTGCTTTCACACACACCCGACCCCTCGTTTGCACACAACCCCACCCCCCCAATCCCCCGGGTGCTCTCACTGTGTTCGTCGATCAAGTCTTCCAGGCTGGGGAAAATGTTCACCAGTTCGCTCTCGGTGAAGAATCCCTCGGTCAACAACGGTTGGTAGAACACCTCAAGTAACACACGGAGCATCCGCAGGTGGGCGTGCTCTGTGATAAATAGCTCTGTAGGAGGGAAAGGCGAAGGTAAGAATCCAGGAAGATCCTTTAGGAAATCTAGGCAATTTTTGACTGTAGTGGGGATTTTGCACGCACAGGGGGAGGAAAGATGCATCGATTCCCACAGGGGAAGAAGAGATAATGGAGGCAGTGGATTTGGCAGAGACGGCCAAATTAAATCTAAATCTTAACGGAAGTCTTAATTAAAAGAGAGGAATTTGTCTAGTTGTGTTTTCTACTCAGAAACCGCTTTTAGGCTTTATCCCCGAAAATAAAGACAAAAAAGGAATCTTTGATTTTAGGTTTCAATTGATTGCACTGTCTCTGGCGTTACAAAAGCGATCTGAAATAATTGGAAATGTAAAGGAAACGATTGAAGCTATAATTTTCCTTGTCCTCTGAAAAAAGGCGGAAGTCACTACCTTTTTTTTTTACCTTAACTTTTGCATTCTTCCTTTTTAACTCCCGCGACTTTTCTTTCTATTTGCATTTGGTCTCACGATAAACCTTCAATAAGACTTTTAAAATATGTGCAATTGCAAAAAATAAAAAGGGGTGGGGGGGGGGCTGGAGATCTAAATCTTCCACGAGGTTCGCAAAGTCCTTGCTTCCTCGTTTTGTGTTTTATTCGTTTATCCCCCATTTCCTGTCACTTTGTCCGGTTGGTTTGCAAACTGTTTTTAAACCTGCATCGCAGAATCACTAGTACATTTTGTTACGGTTCTAACAGGAACAAGCATTGTAGCCGGGGAATTCTGGAAGTTGAAATCCACACAGCTTAAAAGTCCCTGGACTTTGCTTTTTCTTTGAAAACATTTCACTTCTCAGGCAAGAAGCTTCTTTGGCTCTTCAGTTAGAACCCAAGAAGCTTCCTAGATGTGAAGCAAAATGTTTTCAAACAAAAAAAAAACAAACCAAGAAAGTTCACTTACATTTGGGGGCGGGGGGGGAAGCACCTTTAGGCCAACCATGACTGAGTTGATTGGGAATATCAATAGACATTCAATGAGATTAAGAAACCCTGAGTTCTAGGCACTACAATAGATGTTCTAGGCACTACAATAGATGTTCTAGGCACTACAATGGATGCTCTAGGCACTACAGTGAATGTTCTAGGCACTACAGTGGATGCTCTAGGCACTACAGTGGATGTTCTAGGCACTACAGTGGATGTCCTAGGCACTACAGTGGATGTTCTAGGCACAATAGATGCTCTAGGCACTACAGTGGATGTTCTAGGCACCACAATAGATGTTCTAGGCACTACAATAGATGTTCTAGGCGCTACAACTGAAGTTCCAAGCACTACAATAGATGTTCTAGGCACTACAATAAAACTCCTCCTGACTTCCATGCGTTCTAAGTCTGGTCTACACCTGGTAGGGCTGACAGGGAAACCTCCTCACATACCGTTGATCACTTCTTGCCGCTTCACTTCACTTTTCTTCAGCCTGAGGAGGGTGTCGGGGGGGACAAGCTCCCGCCAGTTTGGCGGGTCCAGTTCCAGTTCCGAAACACGCGGCTCAAACTCCTCAGACTGGGGAAGCAGAAAGGACGGCGGGGGCTCACCTCCCCCAGCCCCTCCGGGTTCCAAACTGAAAGAGTCGAAGCGAGAGACAAACGAGACAGTGAGGATGGTCCTGCGTTGACTTTATCCATCTGTCCATCCATCCTTCAACTTTTGACAGGCCACCCCCCCCCACCCCCCAACCTGACGATTCTGGTGATCGTGTTTGCTCTGCTCCAGGTCCCACTGGGGTAGCAACGTCTAGTCAACTACGGTTGATCTAGAAAAAGGGGGAGCAGAGTTCTAACTGGATAGGAGACCACTAGGAAAACCCAAGGTTGTGCAAGCTAGACTGGGATAGACGAATCCCAGGGAAAAGACAATGTCAAACCACCCCCAAACTCTGGCCAAGAAGCACAATACAACCAATCCTCAACTTGTGTCCATTGTTTAACAATGGTTCCGTTTCAACAGCCTCAGAGAAAGTGTCTTGCAGTTGTACTCAAAACCGTTGTACCAATCCGGCAATTGTGATCGCAACTTGAGTGCCTGGCTCACATTTTTGACCCGTTATGACATCCTATGATCAAAAGGTTGCAATTTGAGGCCATATTTTTTTTTTTTTGCTGATTTCTGGCAAAAGACCCCATTGGGTAAGCTGGATTCATTTAACCGCCTTGGGATTGGCTTAACAACTGTGACCATTTGCCTGATGGCTGCTATAAAAATTACGGTGAAATTGAACTTACTCAACCAGCTTGACTTACAACCACAATGATTTCTCTTGGAAATTCAGGTCCCAATTATGGCCATAAGCCGAGGACTACCTGTATAGAAGCGTTCCATTAAGTTGTCAGGAGGTTGGGCTCAATGCAAATGATCGTGGCTCTCTGTATTTGCTCCAACACTTCTTGGACCACCACCACCCCCCCCCCCAAAAAATAAGAATTCTCCTAGTTTCCAGACCAAATGCATCCCACTAAACCAAGTGTAATCCAATTCCAGATTTGCAACGTAGATCAGTTCCAAGTGCCAAAAGCATTTGCTACAGCTTATGCTCTCAGCTGATTATCTTAAGAAAATGTTATTAACGTTTACCATAATTATCTTCAACTCATCCAACACAGGAGTTATTTTCTCCCTAGGATTTTATAATGGGGCAAATTCAAGATAATTTGTGAGATGCTGCTTGCTTTTTGGGTTTTTTTTTTAAAGAGTTTAGGGTGGGTTTCTGACAAATTGGCAATGAACAGCTGCCAATTCAACAGAAGCCTTTCTGCCAGAAGGAAAAAAGTAGTAGCCAAAATGTATTTAAATCTCAGAGGCTACACTTTTAACATCTACTGAAAATTATTTTCACACATAAACAAGGTGCTGTTTACTTGAAAGAGTAGCAAGGTGGGTTCAGGAGCCTTGCTGGACTATTTTATTCCTCCTGGGCAGAAGACACCGATGCCTAGAGTGGTTGTTTTGAAGGCTGTCTTTCATATGCACAACTTTCTGGACTTCAATTCCCACAATTTCCATGGCTAGCTAAGGAATTCTGGGAGTTGAGATCCATAAGTCTTAAAGTTGCCAAAATTGGACACCCTTTTTTTTTTCGAGGAAGAAATTTGAGAGAGAGAAGCATCTTCTCTTTTATTTATTAATTAAATCTGTCTGTCATCCATCTCTCTGCCAATTCTTTTAGCAACAAGGATAATGGAACAATTGTTTAATTTCTTTTGTAGATAAAGATGCTCCCATTCCTTTGGAGATGATCCCCTGGGAATGCATCCATTGTTTATGTTGCTCAAGATTTCCCGGGGAGGACCTTCCAAGATTGATGATCCTTTGTGATCCTACTTGAGCAGGGGGTTGGACCAGAAGACCTCAACGGTCCCTTCCATCTCTGTAATGCTTGGACAATGTGCTCCCGTCTCTGCCCGTCTTGGGGGCAGCTGAGATGGCGGCCCCTTCACCTACTTGCGGCTTCCCTGCTTCTGCCGAGCCTGTTCTAGGGTTGGTTTTCCTTCCAGCTCGTTGGCCCGGGCCGCGGCTTCGATGTCCACATCGCTCCGCGAACGCGGCTGTTTGCCTTTGGCCGAGCCTCGCTGAGACCGCTTCCGCTCGTAAACCCGCAGGCTCTCCGAGCGGCCCAACTTCCCTGTCAGCCTGGCGAGGGTGGGGACACGCACAGCCGGGCCACAGACAAATAAATAATAATGGGGAGGGGTGGGTGGGTTTGGAGGGACAACAACCACAATGCGAGAGGACCAAGGGATGTTGGGTTTGATAAGCCGACGGGGACACGGCGGGAGATGAAATGAATCACGTGAGAGGTAGAAAGAGCCACAGATGAATCGCCAGCGACACACGGAAAGGGAGTCACGAGACATTTGGCACCAAGACGGCGGCAGGGATCACAACCGGAGAACACGCAATATATAGGGAGTGGGGGGGAGAGGAAGACAAATTTGGCACATGCAGTGGTGGAAAGAGAAAGGAAGAAAGAGAAACGTGAGACCCCTCCCAAGAACAAACCGAGATATCCATGCACCAGAAGAAGGTGGAACTGCGAGGCAGACACACACACTCCTGGCAAGCCGGATCCAACCGTAGCTACAGCCCCCCCACCAAACCCCACCCAAAATGTTTTGCTTCTTAAGGGGAGGTGGGGGTTTGACAACAACCCCCCGGGGCCACCTCCTGCCCCTTGCCAAGGCTCAAAATAAGGCCTGCCACAAGACAGAGCTGCAGGGGAAGAAGAGAAACACCCAGGCCAGGTGGGACCTCGAGTTTAAAAAGATGGCTTCTCTCCAGCCACCGGTTTGGGAAGGCCGCGTGGCTTCCCAAGGCACCTCCGGTGAAACGAGGGGTCATACTTAACTCAGCTTGTGTGTCTTCCCCTGAGGAAGGAATTCATGCAAAGGGTGAGTGGGGAGGGTGAGGAAGCCACCAACCTTTTTCGCCTTCTAGAAGGGAAGAACAGAATATAGAAGGGTGATTGTGTTAATACCGGAATGAGAGACGAGAGGAAAAGGAGGATTGGGCGGAGGAGGGGTGGGGGGTGGGGTGGGGGGCAAACCCCATATATGAAGTCTCAGGAAGGGATTCCACGCTGTTTCAATGGGAGCTGAACGCCAAGGAGCCGAGGTGGCGCAGTGGTTAAATGCAGCACTGCAGGCCACTTCAGCTGACTGCAGTTCTGCAGTTCGGCTGTTCAAATCTCACCGGC